GTTTTCTCTCATTTGCCGAGCTTTCTGAGTTTTCCTCATTTTCCTTGGGTTTCACGTTTCTAATATGCCTTCGATTTCTTGAATGTTTGTTGATGCCATTTTAGACGGAGGTGGTACTTTGTCTGCAACTTCCTCTGAATTCTTTTCACAAAGCTTTCATGATACTCTAAATGTTGGTGTAGATTATACTTTGATCAAAAAATCGGGGAAAAAATCGTAAACTTGCTTTTTATGTTACTGAGAATGAAACTTCTGTTCTTGCCTCTTCTTGCTGTCTTGCTCTAGTTGGCAAATTTACTTATGACATTCCTAAGGTCGAGATCATAAGGAGAGAGTTTTAAATGTTAAAATTAAAAGGTTGGTGGAAGGTTGGTATCATTGATGGTAGACATATTTTTATACAATTAGCTAATGACGAGGATTAGACTCTTCTCTTTGCTAAAAGGTTCATGTGGGTGGAAAATAGTTTGATGAAATTTCAGAAATGGTCTATTCATTTTGATCCTAAAGCTATTATTCTGGTATGGATTCAATTTCTAGTGCTTAAATTACATCTTTTTAACCACGAAATGCTTTTATCACTTGTTGGTGCATATGGGAAGCCTTTGAAAATGGATCATGCTACTTTCACTTTATCGAGACCATCTGAAGCACGTATATTAGTTGAACGAGATATTACTCAACATTTCTGTAATGAAATATAGATAGTTTTGCAACATCAAGGTTATTAGCAGCCTATTGAAATTGAAAGCCATTCGGCTTACTGTACTCGTTGTTCAATGTTTGGGCATCAAACTACTTCTTACTTTTGATTGAAACCCCAACTCAAAAATACTCATAATGCTATGTAAACTATCAAAAATACTAAGCATGATGCTCCACCTAGTGCTGAAAATGAGAATGATTTAGTTGAAAATTTGCTACTAATGCTACTTCTAATTTGCAGACTTTGGTTACAGGAACTATAAATAATTGTATTGAAGCCATACCTCAACAATTGAGTACTAATGATGGGCATCTAGGAACTGATGTCTCACATTTTGTAATGATGCTACACTTAAACTTATGCAGATTAATGGAAATGGGGAGTTAGATGAAAATTCACACATACATAATGATAATGTGTCTTATAGACACTTTACTCTTACGGGGCCTGATGAATAAACAATCACAGAGGAGTCTGTGGTAGCAAACACTGATAATGAACACTCTTCTCTTGCAGGACACACCAAAGATATTGAACAATCTACTCTTCCTAGTATCATGATTCATTCTCCTATAGTTGGAACTCATTCTAAAATAGTTGATATAAATACTGCTCTTGATAATGCTACTTCAACTTTGGAAAATGAATGGCAAGTGCAAAATTCACTCACGGAAAAAGGCTAAACGTAACATTGAGATATCTACACTTAACGCAAGTAACATTATTCATGAAGGTACTTATCACTCAGATGGAGAACGGTTGGTCAACTATATTAGATCTTCTAGAAGGGTTGACTCACGTCATCATGATTAACATAATGGTGTGGAATATTAAGAAAGTGGCAGACCCTAACTCCCTTAATAGGCTTAAAAACTTGTGTAGGGTTCACAAATTACTCATTTTTGTTATTTTGGAACCTCTGGTTCATGTTAATAAACGCAGAATTCTGAATAAATTTAAAGGCTATCGTTCTCACTGCAACATTAACAACAAAATTTGGGTTTTCTAGAAGCCCACTGTCACTCTTTCAATTATTGAAGATGAAGATCAATACGTTCTCACTCCAATTTTTTTTATGGTTCTCAGGGGTGGGGCACTTTTATTAACTTACTTTGGTAGAAAATTGAGTTAATGGGAAGTATCATCATTGAGAATTGGTTTGGTTGTGGGGATTTCAATATGATCATGAAGCCGATGGAAAGAAAATGAGGTGGCAGAGTTGAGCAAGCCCTTATTAATAGATTTTCTAACTCTATATAATGCAAGTTTTTATGACTTGGGCTATACTGGATCTCCTTATACTTGGAGGAGGGGTTTTCTTTATCATAGATTGGATCGTTTCTTGGCTAATTCAGCTTTTATAAGTCATTTTCCTATTGTAAAGGTGCAACATTTGAGTCATGTTACCTCTGACCATAATCTTATTTTGTTTACTTTGGCATTCACTGTCAAGCCATCCATATCTCATTTTAAATTTCTTAATGTTTGGACTTCACATGCTTCTTTTCTTGATTTGGTACGATGACATTGGGACTCCTTAGTTTTCCTTGTGGCAATTGCATAAGAAAGTGACTGCTCACCTCATTAAATGGAATTACCAAGTCTTTGGTAATGTTCATAAAAAAGTGCAGGATGCTCAGAATATAGTTGATTCCTTGAAAGCTCAACTTGATGTTCCCCCTCATCTGATGGACACTGTTGCTCAAGCTCATCTAGCATTATTGGACTCTATTGCTTTAGAGGAAAATTTGCTTAATCAGAAAGCTAATGATTCTTCCTTTATTGCAGGGAATAGAAACACTAAATTTTTTTACGCTACTCTTAAGCATAGAAGAAACATCAATAACATTTTAAAAACTAAAAAGGCTGATGGGAGTCTTTTAACTAATATGAATGTGATTGGTGATAGTGTTGTTAGCTTTTTCACTGAACTCTTTCACACTTCTTCTCACACTATGCCTATAGATCCCACTTATTTTGAGAATGAGTATGATTATACTAATAATCTTAGTTTGGTTTATCCTCCAGATAAGCAGGAAATCTTGAATGCCTTCAAATCCATTTGTTCTGATGGTTTCTCTTCTGCTTTCTACATACATGTTTGGGAGGTCATAAAGAAGGAAGTTATTCTTGTTATCCAAAGTTTTTTCCTTGGGTAATAATCCTAATAAATATTTTACCTCTGCTCTGATAGTTCTTATTCTAAAAAGCAATGATAAGATCACTTGGGATAATTTTTGCCCTCTATCTCTCACCACTATGATTTCAAAAATCATGAGTAAGATTATTGTTAACAGATTGCATCCTCATCTTACTCATATTATTGTTGAGCAACAGTCTGCTTTTATTAAGGGTAGGGACATTACTGATAATATTCTTTTAGCGCAAGAAATGATTGAGGAGTTGGACAAAAAGTGCAGAGGGGGCAACATGGTCCTCAAATTGAACATAAAGAAAGCTTTTGATACTATTAGCTGGGACTTAATTCTCAATATTTTGCAAGCTAAAGGCTTTAAACAGGATTTCTGCTCTCTCATACAGAGATGGCTGTCCAGTAATAGCTATAGTGTGATGGTTAATGGTTAAGCTCGTGGTTTCTTTTCTGCCAGTAGGGTCATCAAGGAGGGAGATCCTCTTCTCCCACTGTTTTCATAATTGCTTTTGATTACTTATCCAGACTTACTAATAAGTTGCATCACAAGCGTCCTTATCTTCAATTCTCCCACAAGTCTAAAATTGTTATAAGCCACCTTGCTTATGCCGATGATGCCATTTTGTTTTTAAATGCTAGCAAAAGTGCCATCAAAGCTACCATGACTTTGTCAATATATTTTCAAAATTCCTTTGGGATGATGTTCAACTTGGCTAAGTGCTCCATGTATCTTGAAAAAGGTGCTCCACCTAACACCCTTGCTTGAGCTCCTAACTTAACTGGTCGTAAAATCTCTAAGCTTCCTATGAAGTACCTTGGGGTCAACATTCTTAGAGGTGGAACTTGGCAATCTCATATGGATGAGGTGATTGATAAGGTCAAACTCAAAAAAAATGATTGGAAAAATAACTTCCTTTCTAACGGAGGTAGGCTCACTTTGTTAAAAAGTGTTCTTTGTACACTCCCTTTTTTTATGATGCAGGTTCTTAAAACCAAAAAGAGCACTCAAAAGAATCTTGAAAATATTTTATTTTTAATAAAATATTTTTAATAAGTTTCTTTGGAAAGGCACCAGATCTACCAAAAATTAGACTACTTGGCACTATACTTGTAAACCTCTTAGTGCTGGTGGGCTTGAGTTTAAAAGTTTGCAGCATATTATTGATATTAACATGTGTAAACTTTGGTTTAAATTTTGGCTATGAGAGTCTCTATGGGCTAAATTTATGCATCATAAATATTGTAAAAATTCCCACCCTTCAACTGTCAATTGGAGAGTGGGGGATTCGAGACTTTGCAAAGCTATTATTGCTGTGTGTGATGTAGCTTCTCATTTCATGTTTTGGGATATTGGTGATGGTAGTATTTCATTTTAGAAGGATAACTGGGGTCTCTCTAAATTTTCTAGTTTGCCTGCTCAAGATTATGATGTCAATTTGTTGGTCTCAGATTGTTGGATTAATGGTGAATGGAATCTTGATATGTTGAATTCCTTAGTTGGTGAAATTGCTCCTGCTATAGCTAAAATTCTTATTAAACCTCAAGATAAGGCTCTTCATATTTGGAAGAATCATGCTAGCACTTCTGTCACGAAATGGCTTTACTCTAACTTACATTCCTTTACTCCATGTAAATGGCATGTTTTTATTTGGCATAAACTTATTTCTCCATCTATTTATTCTTTCCTTTGGCAATACTTTCATAAGTTGCCCCCTCTTGATGATATACTTATGTTGAACAAGCTTAAACTTGCCTCTTTCTGTTACAACTGTAAAAATGGTGGTGAATCTTTTAATTATCTATTTTTTGAGTGTGTGTTTGCTAAAGAAGTTTTGCATTATATTGGGTGCTATTTTGGTATCCATTGGCCCACTAATCTGAATTTCAGAATAATTATTGAGATTTGGAAGGGTTTTGAACCCTCTTTAAGCAAGCACTTCTATTTTCCTATTATTATCTTATGGTTTATTTGGATGGCAAGAAATAATAAAAAATATGAAGCAACGGGTCACAGCCCTTATACCACTTCCATTTGAGTGGTTGCTTATTTTAAACAGGCCAGAAAGTCCATCTTTAGACAGGATGCCTCTCCTACTGTGGCCAAGGTTAGGAAACCAATTTTGATAAAATGCGCATAAGGGTATGGGATGGCTTATCAGAGATGCTTTTGGTAGATGTATTGCATACTTTGCTTCACCTTGTATTGCCAACTCCACACTTGAGGCTGAGAGCTATGTTGAGCTAGCTACTCTTCATATTATTACCTCTTTAAATTTAAATGGCATTGCAATGGAAACTGATTCTGAAATCATGTTTAACATTCTTGTGGCTAAGATTAAACCACCTTGGTATATTTTAGATTTGCTGAAAAGAATGAGGTATACTATTGAAAGGCATTGTCTCAACATATTATACTCTATTACTTATAGAGAAGGGAATCAGGTTGTTGATTGGTTGGCCAAATGGAAGCTACAAAATGCTACTGTTGGAGATACCCCTCCATCATACTTGCATAAACTTATTCAAAATGATTTGGATTCCCTCTATGTTCATTTTTAAAATGTTGATTGAGTTATTATTTGGCCAGAAATCTTGGGGTTTTAAGTAGGAAGCCATTTTATTTTTTCTTCACATGTTTTGGATGTTGGGCCCTCAGTTTTGGGATTATCATGGAAGAACTTGTTGCTTAGAGTTTGGGAAGACTCCTTATATTTACTTCCCATGTTGGGGCCTCGACTGTTGGGGTCTTTGCATTGGGCTTAACTTGAACGAACTCGCTAGCTTTATATATTGGTATGGACAGTCTTTGCGGACTAAGAATTTCTTGGTTTGTTATTATAAATTGGTACTTCCCATGTTGGAGCCTCAATTATAAATTGGACCCATTACGTTTCTTGTTCTATGATTCATTACTCCTATGGGCATACGACTTTTGCTCTTGCCTGCCTTTTTCAGCTTTATCTAGTAACAAATGTATTTTCTGGACATAGTAGTGAGTCTGCCTTGATTGGTGATAACAGCTCTTATATTATGAGTATCATTTTTAAGGTGCTGCCCCCTTATTTGATTTTCTTTTTGTACATTATGGATTTGGTATTGGTTATTTTGGATTGCCTTTTTTTGCATCTTTTGAAGATGTTGCTAGAGCTTTTACTTGGCTAGAAATTTTGGGTTTTTAAGCATGAAGTCATTTTTTTGTTGGGCCCTTGGTTTTTGGCTTATCTTGGAAGAACCTGCTGCTTTGATATTGGGAATTCTACTTCTATTTACTTCTTATGTTTTGGGTGTGGGGGCCTCGATTTTGGCCTTTGCTTGATAACTCTTGTTGGCTTTATTTGTTGGTTTGGTCATTCTTTGCGGACTGAGATTTTCTTGGTTAATTATTATTAATTGGTGAATAGATATACTTGGACCCATTACAGTGCTTCCTCTATGACTCATTATTCCTATGGGGATATGAGTTCTATGCTTGCCTATCTTCTTCTGCATTATCAATTAATGGATGTGTTTTCTGGACACAGTAATGAGTTTGACTTGATTTGAGATAGCAACACTTATATTTTATACTTTGCTGGTAGGACTTTCTTGGTCCACCCATTTTGGAAGGATTTGGTGGGTTCAATTTATAGTTGCTGGTTACAGATTATGAGATTGGTATTGCTTGATTGGCTATCTTTATATGGCCATGTTTCTCTGGCTCACTCTTTCTCACGGATTATCTATTTTCGAATTGATATCACTGGTTGGGAGAATGATCATGATATGCACTCTTTATTATGGATTTTCCTTCTCTCAAATTTGATTTTTAATGTAGGACTTCAGGACTGGGATAAACTTTACTATCTGCCTCTTTTATTTTATGTTAGTTGGGGGATTAACCTATTTTGGTCCGCGGATCATCACTTTAATGAGACTCTTTATAGCTCACCTTGCGATGCCTATAAGGATTTGAAGATTCTATTATGTTGTAATCACTTCTTTTATTGTAATAGGGCAATTTTAATTTCTGCAGGTTTTGGTATTCCATCAATGTGCTACTTATCCATTCAGAAGGCCTCTACTACTCTTTTGCAGTTCTCGCATACTGACAATTTGGGTTTTGGTGTACATGTCCTTTTTGGGTATAATTTTACTTTTTGGTATACATTTTTTGGGAATACATGTATTTTTGGGTTTTACTTACCTTTAAGCTTTTCTTTTATTTTCAAGTGGAGTTGTACTGTGGAGATTGGAACCCCTAGGACTTTATTGTATTTTCTTTTGCTTTTAGACGGGGATCCACTCTCCTTCCCCCAATTTGTAACCTTTTGTACTTCTAACGTGTAAGGAGCCATGAGCTGCTCTTTAATATTATATATTACAAGGAGGAGGATCTAGTTACCTTGAAGGATGATTGCAAATTCATCCTAATAGGCAAATTCTAGCTTTGACACCCCAATATGGTAATTTTAAGAAGGTTTTTTGAAAATTTCCCTTTCACTGGTGCTTGGAATTTGGGGTTGGTTGATGGTCGACACATTACGATCAAATTGGCTTTGAAGTAGGATTATGCATGACTATTTTCTAAGCAACTATTCTCTATGGATGGAATCTCCATGAAGATAGTTAAATGGACCCCCAAATTTGACTCAAGCAAGGAGCCCCCTATTGTTCCTATTTAGTTCAAAATATCAGGGCTTCCTCTACACTTTTTTAATCATAAGGTCCTCTTCAAAATTGGACTTGCTTTGAAAAGACCATTGAAGATGGGCTTCCCTACTTTTAAACTCTCTAGACCTTTAGTAGCAAGAATATTAGTGGAGAGGGATATCACTCTCTCTAAGGTAGAGGAGATTTGGCTACGGTCCATTGAGGAGGGACACTGACAGAAGATTGTCATGAAAGAAAAACCTTATTATTATCTTCATTGCTTTCTTTGTTTTTTGGTTTTGCTGGGAATTTTGGATTCCAATTCATCATTGGTTTCACTTTCTATTGAATTTGGGAGATAACATTCTTACTGATCTTTATTTCTTGTATTTATTGTCTACCCCATTTTTTGGTTGTTGGTTCTATTCTTTGGAAATTATGGCACATGATTTATCTGTGGCTAACCCAAAATATAATGGGAAGGGCTTGCTGATATAGTTGGCAGATCAATTGGGGTATGATACACCTAAAATATATAGTATTTTTAGACACATTTTTATTTCTATTTTTGAGATATTGCGATTTAATGGAACGCATTTTTGTGTTTGCTTGCAGATACATGTAAAAAGGGTGAAAAATGCTTAAAGGAGTGAAAAAGGATCAAATTTGGAGCAAAAAGATGAAAAATGTGTAAAAGAGTTTTGGCGCCTAAGCGCCAGAGTTTTGGCGCCTAAGCGGGGAACGCCTAAGCGCCAGATTCGGCACTTAAGCGCTGGTTAAACAGAGAAGGCCGCGCCTAAGCACCAAAGGCCCTGCACTTAAGCACCAATGACAGTTATTGGACAAGTAAATTCAGTTTCTGCAAATTTTGAAGAGGTTTTTTAGGCTCCCATTGGCTTAATAGGTGGTTGTTACCACCATGGAGAAAAATTATCGTGAAAGAATGCGTCTCTGAAAGGATGACATCAAATCAAGACACATTTTGAAGAGATCCCAACGCACCTCTTTAGACATATTTTGAAGAGTATTTTGAAGAGAAACCAAGACACCTTTTGGAAAATTATAAAAGCAAGAAGAGAAGACTTAGAAAAGAGTCCTGAAAGTTTTGGAAAGTAGTGAAAGTTCTCATTTGGGGAGTTAGTTTGGAGAGATTTTTCAGGTACCATTTTTACTTTTATTTATCATTTTTGTTATTTTATTTTATTTTGAGTGATTGTAAAGAGAAGAGAATCAAGGGAACTTCAAGAGTTTGGTGGAGGACTTGAGATGAGTTTTTATCTTTTTGTTTTGAGACTACTTTTAGTTTTAATTGAGACTTATTATTGGTTTGGCAATGATTTCTTCTGTTAAACAAAAGTGTTGTTTTGTTTTCTTCATGGATTCTGAGTGGTTTTCTTTATCTTTCTTAATAAAATGATAAGTATTATGTTTTGGACAGAAGTTGTGGAAAGTATTAATCTTCAATGATGGAAGAAGTTGTGATGATTTAAATCCTTGCACTTCATTTACTTCTTAATTTGACCAATCCAGGTGTTAAAATTTGTTGTGAGAACATGTACAAACCGGGCTGGTATTGTCTCAGTCAACAATTGGAAAGAATCACATGAGGTTGTATGAATGAGAATATTGTTCATATGATTGAGTGAAAATAGATAGGGAAATATTCATTGAAGGGTGTAGAGTTAGAGGACTTTAAAGTGACAGGTTAAAGCCTATAACTAGGTTTATTATTTTAGGTTCTGATCGAGATGTTAGCCCCGAGGTGGAGAGAACCGAGGGAACTCTAAAGTGAGAGTCAGTATCTTCCCTGCCTAGCCCGTCTTCAGAACTATTCAAACTTCAAATTAGCTAATGTTCTTTATAGCATTGTTGACGCTATTTTTTGTTGGACGGAGTTGCCCGTAAGAAGTTGTCGGTCACCGGAATTGAAATCCTGTTGCTTGTTTCGAAAGGATGTTTTAATTTACATATATATATATTTTTAGAAAAATATGAAATCAAACTGACCCCATATTTTTCATAGTTTAATCAAGTCTTGTATCTATCCCAAAGGATAAACACAAAACTTGAGGATGAGGCTCGATCAAATAAACTAAAGGATATATGACGTCCGTTTCGTCTGCAAAACCTTTTGATTTGCCAACAAGTTCTCCTATTTAACATAAAAAATTAAATAGGGTTTATATTAAGCTGGGTTCAGACATGCTTCTTATAAGAGCAAGCCCCTATAGTTAATTACCTCTTAAATGACCAAAGTCACCTAATAAGACTCTCGATAAAATAAAGAAATATTAACTTCAAGGATTTTCAAAGGGTATAACTTTTCAATGAGATTAGACGTAGAGGTGTGAAAGAGGATTGGTTTAAATTTGGAACATTTTGTTGTAGAGTCCAAAGGAGGAAGAACTAGGGGAGTCATGGATCCAGAGGAGAACCTCGGTGACTTCCCAAGCTATCCTAATTTTTGGCTTAAGTTTTAAGGAGAAATATTTAGGTGTTTCGTTCTTTCAATTTTATTTGTTAGGGATTACATTCGTGTGAAACTAAAGAAATATTAACTTCAAGGATTTTCAAAGGGTATAACTTTTCAATGAGATTAGACGTAGAGGTGTGAAAGAGGATTGGTTTAAATTTGGAACATTTTGTTGTAGAGTCCAAAGGAGGAAGAACTAGGGGAGTCATGGATCCAGAGGAGAACCTCGGTGACTTCCCAAGCTATCCTAATTTTTGGCTTAAGTTTTAAGGAGAA